GTGTTCATCCATTTCAGGAGGTGGCACATGATCAAGAACCAATGGTACTGAAGGAATTGGCAAAGAACAAGGCTCCAGGAATTGACAGAATACCCACTGAGATGTTTCAACAAATGAATGTCACACTAGAGGCATTCATTGATCTATGCCAAGAAATTTGGAAGACAGCTACCCGGTCAACTGACTAGAAAAGATTCATATTTGTACCCATTTCAAAGAAAGGTAATCCCATAGAATGTGGAAATTATTGAATAGTTTCATTAATATCACACACATGTAAAATCTTGCTGAAAATAACTGAAAAAGGGTTGCAGCAGTGTATTGACAGAGAACTTTCAGAACTGCAAATTGGATTCAGAAGAGGATGGGGAACAAAGGATATCATTGCTGATGTTAGATGGATCTTGGCTGAAAGCAAAAATACCAGAAAGATGTTTACTTGTGTTTTGACTATGCAAAAACACTTGATTGTGTGGATCATAACAAATTATGGGTAACATTGAGAAGAATGGGAATTCCAGAACACTTGATTGTGCTCATCAGGAACCTGGACATAGACCAGGAGACTGTTGTTTGAACAGAACAAGGGGATACTGCATGGTTTCAAATCAGGAAGGGAGTGCCATCAGGGTTGTATCCTTTCCCCATACTTATTCAATCTGTATGCTGAACAAATAATCCAATAATCTTTACTATATGAACAAGAGTGTGGCATCAGGACTGGAGAAAGACTCATTAACAACCTGCTTGGTAAAAGTGAGGATGACTTGAAGCACTTACTGATGAAAATTAAAAACTTCGGTCTGCAGTATCAATTACATCTCAACATAAAGAAAACAAAAATTCTCACAACTGATAAGCAGCATCACAATAAATAGAGAAAAGACTGAGGTTGTTAAAGATTTCATATCACTTGGTTCCACAATCAATACCAATGTAAGCAGCAGTTAAGACATCAGATGATGTATTATTGCACTGGGCAAATCTGCTGCAAAAGACCTTTTTTTTTTTTTTTTGCTGAAGAGCAAAGATGTCTCCTTTAAGACTAAGGTGTGCCTAAACCAAGCCATGGTATTCTCAATTGCCTCATATGTGTGTGAGAGCAAGACAATGAACAAGGAAGACCGAAGAAGAGTTGATGCTTTTGAGCTGTGTTGGCGAAGAATACTGAGAGTACCATGGACTGCCAAAAGAACAAACAAATCTGTCCTGGAGGAAGTACAGCAGGAATGCTCCTTGGAAGCAAGAATGGCCAGACTTCATCTCACCTACTTTGGTCATGTTGTCAGAAGGGACCAGTCCCTGGAGAAGAATATCGTGGTTGGTAAAGTGGAGGGTCAGCAAAGAAGGGGAAGGCCCTCAATGAGATGGACTGACACAGTGGCTGCACCTATGGGCTCAGGCACAGCAAGGATTGTGAGGCTGGCACAGGACCGGGCAGTGTCTTGTTCTGTTGTACACAGGGTCGCTGTGAGTTGGAACTGACTTGATGGCACCTACCAACAATAACAGATTCAAAGTGCTCTCCCATTTGGTGATTATTAACTTTTCAGAAATGGATTATTAGCTTTGTTTAATCTTTAGCTTTTAAATAATAAGAGGTTTTAAAGGAAATTACCCCAAAATCTACCACAGCAAAAATAATGGGGGTCTTCTTCAAAAAATAAAATTTATTATAAAGTAAGTAAATTGTTTGCTGATCCATAAAAACCTCCTTGAAAGAGAACTGTACCACGAACAGCTGATGGGATTTGACGGGAACAGCTCTTCTCGGGACCTTAGCAACACTGCTAGTGCATGGGTAGCTGAACGCAAGCAGCGGTGAAACCAGCTTGGAGAAGCTCCACCAGAAGCTCAGGGTGGGGACCAGGCCTGGGTCCTCTTGGGACTTCAGGGTAGGTGGTACCTGGCACTTGGAAGGGCTTCAGTGACTGTCTGCAGAACTGAACCAAGTGGGCCAGGTGGACACAACCCGAGGACAGGGAGAACTTCCCTGACCACATAGTCTGGCTGCTACTAGCTCACCGATTCCAGGCCCCACAGCAGGGAAAACAAAGTGCAAAGGGAATCCGAGTAGCCAGAAGGGTTTACTTTGCTACAAAAGGGGCTACTGAGATCTGGCAGATGACATTCATCATTTTGCTTTTTGATCCACACCTCCTCTTTTTCCTGTGAACACTACTCAGTAGGGTTCTGCGGATGAGTTTCAGAGATTTTGAAGCTGTACCTAAAATTTGATGTACATGGGTCACCATGTGTGTGCTCTTCTGGCTGGAGAGTACGTTGGCTTCTCAAAAGAACACCCTGACTCACATGAAGTTCAGAACCTGTTGACCCAGAAGCTTTTCTAGGCCGTGAAATGCTAGATGACACAGAAGGCTTACCTGAAACTCCTGCTCCAGTTTCTTCTCTATCCAGTCTGTCACATGAACTAAAGTCACTTCTCTCTCTCCAAGTTTTGGCCGAGCTTTTAGCTCCACATATGGTGGCTTCCGGAAACCATACCTTTTTGAAGAAGACAAATAACAGACACAACCACTTTTAGAAGCAGAGAAAGGAAGAATTGCAAACACGCATAGCAAACTCCCTGGTTTATATGGAGCTTTATCACTATTGAAAATTTTCTTTTTCTGAAAAATCTCCTCTAAAAATCATTCAACCTTGGATGTGTTCAGAGTTGTGATGGATTCGAGAACAGTTCTGGCAACTAAGAAAGCCAAGAAGCGCTACTAGAAATTTCTATGACCTGGTCACTGTTTTCTGGTTTTTCCTAAAATGGCAAGTCCTTTATTTTTCTTTCAGTTTTCATAAAAGTAGGTTTTATGTATTAAAAGGAGCCCTGGTGACACAGTGGCTAAGCGCTTGGTGGCTGAACCGTAAGCTCAGGAGTTTGAATGTACAAGTCACTCCACAGAAGAACGATGAAGCAGTCTACTTCTATAAAGATCCCAAAACCAAAAACCAAACTCACTGCCACTCATTCCAACTCAGCGACTTCATTTGGGTTTTCAAGGTGGTAAATCTTTACAGAAGTAGATTGCTCAGTCTTCCTTCCGCAGAGTGGCTGGTGGGTTTGAACCATCAGCCTTCTGGTTAGTAGTCAAATGCCTTAGGCACTATGCCACCAGAGCCCCTAGATAACAGCTTTGGAAACCCTATGGAGCAGTTCTATTCTATCCTATAGGGTTACTAGGAGTCAGAATCGATTTGATGGCAATGGTTAGGTTTGGTTGGTTTAGTACACATATGTTACTGAATAGATAAATAAATAATAAATAAATAAAACAACACACAACAAACCCAAGCTTTGCAAACATATAAAGCATAAAGAAAAAGATATTGCCACTCTCAGGATCTCACACTGACACGGGACAGAGAGAAGTGGGCTCAGTTTCCATCCTTGACAAGAACATGTAAATAGTGTTCTGTAACACGCTGTTCATACATGTTTTTTATGACTTCCCAATGGAGCACTCAGTATCTTTGAAGTATTTTAGACAAGAGACCGCATGCTCTCAAGCTACCTAAAAACTTCAGTCTATCACAGATCACTATTTTTGAAAAGTATAATAAAGTCAGAATACAGTACAAGTTTCCAAACTCTCAGTATCTATACTTGGTGTTTTTATTTTTGTTTTGACTGGGAAACACCACCACACCATCAAATGGTGAGTTGATCCAAAAACCTTCATGTGATCATTCCTACAAAGCCTCTGAACGGCAAGGCCATGAGCGTGTTGGGTTCCCTGAGCAAGGGAGCAAGGCTGTGCTCCCGGGAGGACAGTTTATGGCACAATGAGGTCCCGCATGCCGTCACCAGAATCACTTCTGTCCATTTTAAACAACGTGGGAAGTAAATTTCAAACTGAAATTCACAGTTAGGGATTTTCTTCTGTTGGACCCATGAATAACTGATTTCAGTGATTCCCGGTGCTGGCCTAGTCCCCCATCCCTGGCTCCTGGAGGATGGACCAGGCATGTCTGATTTTTAACAAATCCCAGGTGATTCTGATATTCAACCAGTTCTGGCTAGACCTCCTACCACAGTTACTGAGTGGATAAGCTCCTGCCTCCTCAACATCCAGGCCTTACTCAGGGAAATCTTTCCTAAGCCTGGATGCATGATCAATACCCATCAAGAGGGAATAACAACGCCACCTACCTTAAGGAATGCTGTGAGGCGTGACCAGGTGATGCAGTTACAAACCAGGCCAGGCATAGAATCAGGGCCCTAGCAACAGCAGCTGTTATTACTGGTGGAAGAGGTGGCGAGAGATAAGGAAGACTGGGAATAGAAAGAGCTTATCCTACAAACTCCATGTACTGACCTGAACTCTTCCTAACATGTAGAGATCAACCTTTAAATGTGAATTAGCCATTCATGGAAGGATTTATAACTAACACTCCAAAAAGTACTTCTACCAGAAGGGACCTTCCATAATCCGAAGGCTACTAAGTAGGCTGGACTTTCACAGTCACTCAACAAGGGGAATCATTGGGCGGTCCGAGGGCCCCTCTACCTACCAGATCCGGTCCGTGGGCGGGGGTGGAATGTTAGCTGCCAGGGTTCCTCTGCATTCTTGTACTTCAACAGTTAGCAGCAGGGGTGTGTTGGAAACTTCTTCAATCTTCTTTTTGATGAACTCTGTCTCTGTTGCTTTTTGGAAATATTTTGACTTGGTAATTTTATCTACAAATCTCATAATCTTACTTGTTCGATGGCCTCCAACATACCTTGAAATAAGCAACACAAAGGATCATTAGTATTTTGCTCTTTCTCAAATAAAAACTTGTGGCTTTCCATTCACCCTACTCTAGACCAGAGTTTGTCAACTGCAGCACTAATGACATCTTGGGCTGGGTCATTCTTCAATCCTGGGACTGTCTGTGCGTCACAGGACATTTAGCAGCCACCCTGGCCTCTACCTACATGGGTCAACAGCATCCTAGTCGTGACTATCCACAATGTCTTCAGACACTGACCAACGTCCCCTGGTGGGCAAAAAACTGCCCTAATTCAGAACCACTGCCTTGGAGAGTGGGACAAAGTTCTCAGACTGCAAATAACTAAACTAAAGCAAACGCACCGCCATTGAGTTGATTCTGACTCACAGCGACTCCCTTTTGGGTTTCTGAGGCAGTAAATCTTTACAGAAGTAGATCGCCCAGTTTTCCTTCCATGAAGCAGCTGGTGAGTTTGAACCACCAACCTTCCAGCTAGCAGTCAAATGCCTTAGGCACTGCGCCACCAGAACTCCAGATTGCAAATAGAGGATGCCATCTCCCTCTACATCCCTCCAATGCTGAACATAAACTCAATGTCCTATTAGAAAAACAGCCCACTGTCACTATACAGCAGATACTGAACCATGCTGCGTTGACAGGTACAAAACAGTCATCAGCTGACTGCCTTCTAGGTGATGGCATGCCAACTCTGAGTGGCAACTACTTTTCAAAGGACTTAGGAACTTCTAAAGGAAAATGATGTGTCAATCTGATGTGCTAGCAGACCAACTGGAGAGTTTTTGTCTCAGGCCCTATCTACCATAAAACTGCCCTACGATAAGAAAATATTTGCTTTTTAGAATCCTCCACAGTTCCAGGGTGTCAGGAGTAGTCTGTCTCTCTCTAGGGAGAAGTAATCATTTCTAAGGTCAAGCGGGTAGATTTTAAATAAGGACATAAGCTTTCGCACAAACTCCTCAAATGTCTGGACTCTCTTCTCATCTTCTATAAATTTCCAAAATGAACAGGCTGGTATTTCCTCACAAAAGCTCCTGAAGCACCTAGCTTCTTTACAATCGTAGTCTCTTCAGCTCCCTTTAAATGATTAAAAGATCAGTACAGAGAGGCTGTCGGAGCACCTTGGTCATTCCACAGTCTGAGTCACAGGCAAAGGGAGCCCCTCTCTCTGTAGGAACTAGCAGTTCAACAAGAGCCAGCGCCACCCACCTGCAGGGAGCGATCCTCTGGCTGAGCACCAGGGGGAGGTGTTGGGTAAACTGTGCTCCTGGGACTGCCTGGATGTGCTCATCACAAACACCTTTGCCTTTTCTCTATTATTCACTCAAATGGCAGGACAAAGCTGCCATTTGGTTGGGACCTTCTTAAGTAAGGAAAACCGTGCAGGTCTTTTTGTTCTGGGGACTAGAATTTAAATAAGCTGCTGACATTGGATGTTAATACAAAAACATTCACTCAGTGTAGGGGAGGAAGGATAAGCCTAGAGGAAGGAAGAAAAGAGCCTCACTCCCAACTTGCTGCCTTGGCCTCCTGAGACCCCACATGCTCTGATCCACTCACCCTTCACCCCCCGGGAGAAGCTGTTTGTCTCCCCCACTGGGCTCTGGGGCATCGTCTTCGTCGGAGGATCCGGCGCTGGAAGATTCCTCATCACTGTCGGCCAGACAGTATGCCCTGGGCCTGCAACTGAACAGAGGGAGAGTCACCCCCACGTCTGCCTGTCACTCCAAGCGCTGCTCGGAAAGGACACACACACACGCACACACACACAGGGGCACTCAACAGGAATAGGGTCAAGAAGAAACTGCTACAACACATTAACCACTCTCTCCAATTCACTCAGAAGAGAAGAGGCTGGGTCCAAGAGTCCTTGGATCAGCACAGTTACTCAGAAGACTCTTCAGTGCCAAGACCCTTGACATGACCACAGGGGACTCAGGCCCAGAAGAGTTCACTTTCAGCATGCATCGGACAGGTGATGGGAGCATGATGCAGTCCACACAAAATGCATAGATTTCATCAACAATGCAGAGGCGGCCAGGGGTGGGACGGGAAGAGCAGATGGCGGCAAGGGTGCGGTGACAGCTTATGTTGGAGACATGACTGCCTCTTGGCAGATGACAGGAATTTTCACGCAAGTCCTTGACTCTGGCTAAATTCAACAACAATGATGCCTTCCTGGCTTACTTATCCCAGAGTTAGTTTTGACCAAGACTCCTTCCTAGCAAAAATTCTTACCTTACTCCTACATGAGGGTCACAGAAAAAGCCACCAACCCACAAGGTATAAGTCTCAAGGGAATCTAGGAAGCAAGTGACATGTTGTGTCAACTTGGCTGGGCCTGGTCGAGTGGCTGGGCAGCCAGATGTAGTCATTCCCCATGGTGAGATTGGCAATCACCTCTATGGTGGAATCTACTGGAGTAGCTGAGCAGCTGTTTTAGAGACGTGGGCTGCTTCTAGTGCATAAGAAGCAACTCTGAGAAAGGTCCTGCATGTAGCCAAGTCATTATTCATGTTCTCTGCCGATCTTGGGACTGTTAATGGGTCTTGAATCAATGGCCTGCTGTGTGGTTTTGGTAATATCGGGACTGTGCCGTTTTGTCAACCTTGGGCTTGTCAGCCTCAACAGTCAGTAGCTGCCTGAGTGAAGAGACGCCTCTAGCTTCAGTGGGCTGGGAGCAAGAGGCAGAGCTGAAGCCCAAGGTTGAGGGCTTTCACCTTGCCCCTAGAGCTGGCACTTCGAACTTGGACTTCTAGACTCCAAAACTGTAAGAGAATAAACTGCTGTCTGTTAAAGCCACCCACCTGTGGTATTTTCTGTTAGAGCAGCACCAAGTAACCAAAACACATGGGGACCCAGGAACCTTTTGGAGGAGGAAACGTGTAAAAGACCAACTATTTACTAAAGTAATAATAATGCAGTACCTCATCAGAGAGCAATGCCATTGATCCTTTTAGGCTGGACACTCAGTCCACATTGGCAAGGGGCTTGCTGGTCACCAGCAGAGGGGAGTGCTCAGGGTGCCCCTATGAGGGCAGTGCCTCCTGCCCCCCTGGACCACAGCTGCAGCAAGGACTAACGGAGCCCATCTCTGATGCCCAGAGAGTTCACTGGGACGAACACGGGAGGGAGCAGTTTCTGAACACTGTCAAGCAACCAATGTTCACTAAGCAGAGGTTAGGCCTTGTATTCTTGACGAGGACAAATTAATCAGACAGGTCAAGGCTGTGGAGCTCAGGTTCCAGCTCCCTATAGCTGCAATCCTCTGGTTTTCTCTGGCACTGTCCTTGGGACACAGGAAGCCCACTGGGCAGTCATTTCCTGGCAACAGGGGCCCAGGGTACCCAGCAGCAGAGTGTAGACGCCAGCGTGGACTGGAAGGCCCAGTGGAGGCTCCGGCAGGTGCACTGGGGCTGGGACTGCAACCTTCACCCTGAAACGGGACGCTGGCTGTAAGAGGACCTCAGAGGGTCCTCCCCGCAAGGCAGGCAGCTCCTCCTCAACCCAGGCTCTGAAACGCTAGAGCCAACGACTTCCACCAAAGGCTTGAGTTCAACACTAACGGGGAACTCCCTCCGCAGGAACAAAACGTCTGGCCCTCGCCCTGCCTGGGAACACTTGGCCGGCTCACTCTTCCTCCTTCCAGAGGCCGGGCTAGACCACGAAAAGCCTGTGTTCATTTCTGGGCCAAAGCCATATCAGAGCTTTTAGTGGTTAGGTGACCCTCACAAAGAGATTTCGTATGTAAAATGTACAGGAAAAAAAAAATAAATAAATAAAAATAAAACCCAAACACTTGCCGAGGAGTTGATTCTCCTCACGGCGACACCGCGCACACAGAGCCAAACTGCTCCTTAGCGTTCTCGTGGCAGACTGCCGGGCCTTCCGTCCACGGCACCGCTGGTGGATGCAACTACCAAACTTTTGCTTAACAGTTAGCACTTACCCATGAGGCCACACTGACACTCTAAAATGTACGCAGCAGAAATATAATTCCGAAGAAAGTCTAAACTGTGTCTTGGGGATCAGGAAAAACAGGGACTTAAATCCCTAAAGATGACACAACCACATCAGAAACACCTCTTCACTTCTCCAGTAAGGGGACCAAGCTTCTCTCTCAAGCTCTCAGACCGAGTGATGCTGGGTGGGACTTGGGCCCTGGGCAGCACAGCGTGCCTGCTCCTCAATCGCAAAGCATAAAAAGGCTGCCGGGAAGACCTGGGGCCCCACGGAAATATGCTGAGCCACCAGCCCCCAGGCGTCCCCACTGGCATTTGTTACCTGGCAGCCTCCCAGCCCCAGGCAGAAACTGCCAAAGGCTGTGTACTGCAGAGAGCTCTCGGGTTCCTAAACTAATCCTCTGCAGGATAGGGAGCAGGACGATTTTTGCAGCTTGCAGTTAAAACCTTAACCCTACTGCTGTTGAGAGTCAATTCTGACTCACAGCGATGCTACAGGGCAGAGTGGAACTGCCCCATAGGGTTCCTGAGGCTGTAAATCTTTACTGACGCAGACTCCACATCTTTCTCCCATGGAGCAGGTGGTGGGTGGGTATAAACCACCCATCTTTTGGTTAGCAGCTGCGCACCTTAACCACTGTGCCACCAGGGCTCCTGTAGTGATTTAAGTCATGCTCTACCAGCTAAAGGAGCTCTGGTGGCACAGTGATTAAAGCATTTGGCTGCTAACCAAAAGATGGGCAGTGTGAACTCATCAGCTGCTTTGCAGGTGAAAGATGAGGCATTCTGTTTCCATAAAGATTTACAGTCTCAGAAGCTCTACAGGGAAGTTCTACTGTGTCCCACATGGCTGCTATGGGTCGGAACTGACTCGATGGCAGCGGGTTTGGTTTTTTGGTTATCAGCTATCGCAGATCAGATGGCATGAAATTCTGATTCTGTTCACATGGTAGCTCCACTCTTGGCACTGGGAGCTGTGTTATGTGGCATCTAATGTTTATTAGATGTATAGTTAAATGTTTGCCTGATATACAGGTTTTATAATTAAAGACACCTTATGATCTCAACCTTATGATACCAGTGTGGACTTCAGAGAACAACACACTGCATGTCCTTCTGAGATGCGCTATATAATATAAGGAACCTCCAAGTACCAGATGCCTGTGACATCCTTTCAAAGAGCACCTCAAGCAGGCTCGTGCTAGTTACACCGCCTCAAGTGAAAACCTTTCTGGAAAAGTGTCTGGAGTCAGACACATAAGAGATGCAATTATCTCATCACTGATACTCTTGTCTTGGACCAAACATTTTATTTCTTGGTCTCATCATCACATATCATCTCTGACTCACTTCTAGCAATTTCTCAATGATCCAATCCACCTACAAAGCAGGACAATTTGTGGTCCCTGAGGACAGTTAAAAAAAAATGTCACACCATGGTCACAGGGGACATCAAACTCAACTGGCATAACATACCACACAAAAACATTGTTCTACAGCCTACTTTGGTGAGTAGTAACTGGAATCTTAAAAGCGTGTGAGCAGCCATCTAGATGCAACGATGGGTCTCTCCTTGTCCAGAGCAAAGAAGAATTAAGAAAACCAAAGACGCCTGGGAACAATTAGTCCAAGGGACTGGTAGACCATGCACTCCTCAGCCTATTTGACCGTGAGACCAGAACTAGATGGTGCCCGGCTACCACTGTCAACCACTTGGAGTGGGACTGGTGCAGGAGATTCTGGATAGAGTGGGAGAACAATGTGGAACAAAACCCAAAATTATATTAAAAAAAGAAAAAAAGACCAGGTTTGCTGCTCTCATAGAGCCTGGTGAGACCTCTGAGACTATGTCCCCTAGCTGCCCTTCAGGTCTGGAATTGAACTTACTCCTGTGGCTTCCAGCCAAACAACAGACAGGCATATGAGGTGAACATTTACATCAGGTAGATACACTCCTTGGAGCGATCAATCATGGTAGAACAGAAGGGCAGTGTTTGCACAGAGAGACAGCTTGGGGGCAGGAGTGCATAGGAGGGAAGGGCACAGGGAAGAGGTAACTAGGGGGAGGAAGTGGGAAGAGAACTGTTACATTTGTGGAATTGCAGTCAATGTCATGAGATAAAGTGTGTATGAACTACTGTATGGAAAATGAATTTGCTCTGTAAATTTTCACCCAAATCACAATAAAAATTATAAATAAATAAATAAAATGCCACAGACTTGAGACTCCAAAAATGCTTTAAGGGGAGACGCATACAAGGTTAAACAGCCCTGCGAGGTGTGTGCCTCGAGAGGATCACACTCATGTGAATACATTTTCCTTATTTAAGAAAAAACGTGTCCCACACACCTGTCACAGACACATGTGTGTATGCAGCCACAGGACTAGACGGAGTCAGTGTCACTTGCAAACACTTAGCTCCCAGAACTTCAGAAGCCTGGGGGTGGAGTGGGTTAGGGCATGCCATGTGTGGTGGTTAGGCCTGTGTGTCAACTTGGCTGGGCCTGGCTGACGGGCTGGGCAGCTGGATACAGTTATTCCCATGGTGAGACTGGTAATCAACTCCATGGTGGAATCCACTGGAGCAGCTGAGTGGCTGCTTAGGGCTGTGGGCTGCTTCCAGTGCATAAGAAGCAACTCTGAGGAAGGTCTCCAGCTGATGGCACACTTGAACCCTGCATGTAGCCACATCATTGTTCAGCAGCCTGCCATGTTGCCCTGCTAATCCTGGGACTTTTCCAACACTTGAATCAATGGCCTGCCATGTGGTTCGGTACTATCAGGACTGTGCCATTTTATTTGTCGACCTTGGGCTTGTCAGCCTCAGCAGCCAGCAGCTGCCTGAGTGAAGAGACATTTCTAGCTTCAGTGGGCTGGGAGCAAAAGGCAGAGCTGAAACCCAAGGTCGAGGGGCTTTCACCTAGCCCCTAGAGCCTGGATATGGACTTCTAGCCTCTAAAACTGTAAGAGAACAAACTCCTGTTCGTTAAAGCCATCCCATTTGTGGTATTTTCTGTTAGAGTAGCACTAGGGAAACAAAACACCAGGGAACAGGCAGGTCGGAGGGGGCCACCACATGGGGACCTGCACACTGGCCCAGGCTGCAGCGGTAGAACACGAACAGGCCAAGTGCCTCCTATGGGAGCAATCAGTTAGAGAGCCCCTGACTCACAGAATGTTTCCCTACTGGCTCACGGTGGTCCTTTTCACATCAATTTTCACAGTTAAGATGCTCAGCTCAGTACCTTGCACTCCACTGAGTACCTTACTGCCCAAGAGTTAACTACAGGATGTACCAAGAAAGCCATTTGGGAAATAAAAGGACTAAAGGAAAAATGCCTGCAAATATGAACTGTAGGCACATTTCAAGTGAAAAACAGCACTGGAGCAAAGTAACAGACTTAATTTTCTCATTATGACTGGAACAAACTTGCCCTCAGTGAGCAGACTTCTCGGGGTGGGGCAGCATCTCCTCAGAGCACAGTCGTCTGTCCACTTGAAGGGGGACTGAAGGCGACACCGAGGCAGCGCCCTGAGGTCCCAGCAGGGCAGGAAACGGGCACCACCAACTCCCAGACACGCTCCTCTTTGACAAGTTCCACATTAGGGAGAATGTCAGTGCCAAAGGTCACAGGCTTAACTGGCTACTATGTATACTGACTTCTGTCTCCCTTCAGGGTGAAGGGTGAATCGCCTCAGGGTGACTCCATATCCTGATGAGTCAGGCAGTGAAGAAGTGGATTCTACAATCATCACTGGGGTGTGGTTCTTAACCATGGATGGGCTTCAGAGGCCCTGATGCGTCTAGAAAGTGTGGGCCAAAGGGTGCATCCGGAACATTTTCTGGGAGAAGGACCCGGAGCTCTCAGATTCCTAAGAGGCTCCCTCAAACAAGAGGGCTAAGCGTCCATTTTCCTAAGACTATCTCCCAAATGAAGCGCTTTCAGGTTATACTCCTCCCTGCTTTTAAAATGATTAAAAAAAAAAAAAAAAAAGCCATACTCATTGCTGTTGAGTGGAATCTGACTCATAGCAACCCCTCCTTGGGTTTCCTAGGCAGTATCTCTACAGAAGTAGATTGCCCAGTCATCCTTTCAAGGAATAGCTGGTGGGTTTGAACCTCCAGCCTTCTGGTTAGCAGTCAAATGCCTTAAGCACTACGCCACCACAGCTTTAAAACGATAGGACAGCCAATTAGACACATCAACATTTCATTTAACGTCTCACAGAAAGAAGCAAAACCCTCACAAGAAGCAAGACATTTTATACCAGACTTCTGGAAGAAAACATGGTATTTTCGAAGTGTGTTAAAAATAAAATTTAATACTATCATTTTCCTCAAGCAGAGACGCACAGGCTTTTTTTAATCCAGAGAAATTTAAAACAGGTATTACCCCTGGGCCCCTAAGAAGGCAAGGCAAGAAGCGCTCCCCTCCGCACTCAGTCGAGAGAAGCACTGTGCGCTCTGAACTGTGTCTGCCCTCTGCTCAGCAGCTCATGAAATCACGAAATCGTGCTGAGAGAGCCCGCAACTAACAGTGACCGTGGAATGCCCAAGGGGCAAAGATCTCAAGGGCCTGCCCATGTTGGGGTCCCACCTGCTGCTCCAGATCCCCCTTCCGGGTGGGGTCCCCAGCAGTGCTATGCTGACAGGGCTGTTTCCAGAAAGGGCTCCTTGCTCCAGTGCTCGGAAGTTTGTTCTGCCATTTAGTTAGGCCTCCTTTTTTTAAGACAGTTCACATGTCTGCTTCTGCCTGTGAGCCTTTACTTCCGAGGCACGAACTGCAGCTCTGACTTCATGAGGCTGGACAGGTGCGGCTCAGCTGTGCGCTGGGACGGGGTGGGGACAAGGAGGCGAGTCTGACTAGAGACCTCGATCAGGGCCCCAGGCCTTCAAACCGGGGAGACTGTCAGCCGTTCCCTGCCCGGAGAGCCTGTGAAACGCTCCCCACCTCCAGCTCACCGACTGTGGCTACCGTCTAGGAACATGATGAAAGGACAAGCACTGCGGTGGCTTCACGTGGCACCCACAGGGTATGAAATGCTATGCGGAGAGTTGATAAATACCACTCACCAGAAAATACAAATCCACAGGGTGCCGGGGCCAAACCCATGTTAACAAAGAGCAGAAAAACGAAAGGAAAACAGCACAGATAAGGGTTAGAGTGCAGACAGCAGGTCAGTCTCTGATGAGTAAAAGAACATTTCATTAAGCAACCTGGATAAATGTGAACAATCCCAGTGAGAGAACAGTCAGCTCTATGTATGGCCCGACCCCCATCTGTTCTCCCACGAGTATGAAGACAAGCCCTGGGCCAGCACCATAATGACGCACAAACCCCAGTCTGTCTCATATTTAGAGCTCTGGCAGTGATTTCCTGTCCTGATACTGTTAATTTCATGCAAAGGAACTAAAGATGTGGGAGCAGATTCCAGTCAGCGTCTTTAATTTGGTAAAAACACTAACCGTTATCTACATGTGTAATCAAAAGGACTCAAGTTTAGGGTAAGGACCATTTAAGGTGTGTGGGAACGTCAAAGTGTTAACTTTTTTATGCTACGCATTAAAGGAAAAAAAATTTCATTCATTTTCTCACAAATTTGAAATTTTCACTAAATCAGACCGACTGCGTAGCAGATGCACTATCTTCCGAGACAGGTGTTTACTGAGCAAATCAATACTGTATTATTATTTAGGGAAAATACTTTTCAAAACACTTGAGCACCCACTTGGCTGTACAACTGGTCATCTGATTATAAATATCCCTGCCTTTATGCTCAGAGCTGACAGATGCCCTAGTGACCTGAGCCTGGTCTACACGCCACTGTCTGTGGCTGAAAGTCACTAAAGGAACTTTCCTGATGATGATTCTATTCACCAAGCAGTTAGTTACTGCTCGGAACTGTGCTGTTTGTCTGAGTGCTTTCTGTGGGCCCCGCCGCTAGCACCAAGAGCCACAGGCACAGCCACAGCTGAGCGCAGGTGAGGACTCGTGGTCCACCTGACGCTGTGCTGACAGAGGGCGGCCGGCTGTCCACCGGCAATGAAACTAGGAAACCATTCCCTGAAACATGCCCGGATGCACTTAGGCAGAAGCTCAATCCATGTGGAGGCCACTACGCATCAAGCCTGCTGCCTGAGGCGGGGGGTGGTTCCCCAGGGTTGGATTTTGTTTAGGAAATTCACGTAGCCCCTTACCCTTCTTTGCCAATTTCTCCAACCTTCAGGGCTTCAACAAGAGGCTCTTTACCTAGTTTGGTCAAATTCATTTTGGTCTCGAGAGTCATCAGAAAGGACCCATTGTAGGACATTTCCAAATCAATCCAGAGTCCTGGAGAAATGGTGGAAAAAACAAAAAGTTTTTTTCTTTTTCCCCCCACAAAGAAACATATGGCTATTAATTGACAACATGAAAATTTATACTTTAAAGTGTCTAAGTAAGTATCACACTGAAAGCCTCCATTTTGCTTATACTCCCAATACACGCTACAAGAGACCATGAAGCTTCTGAAAGGGCTTCAAGAGCTGGAAGGTCCCCACCCTCTGGTTTTTCTCCTCCTGTTGTGTAAGAAAACACACAACTCCCAGCAGACGGAAGCAGCTTGCCCCAGGGTACAGCCAGGATGAGGTCTCCCAATTTCCTGCCAGGTACCAGGCAGAAGAGAAGCGCAGAGACTCCACTGCAGGCTGGGCCTTCTTCAGAGACACAAGAACCAAGGTCTTTCTTAAAATGATCGAGGTGGGGAGGAGGAGCACAGAAAATGGTTCAGATTTAGCTTAGTGCAACAGAGATAGTGACCACAACTTTTAGGAACTCCATTCTTTCTGGAAATTGGCTACTAATGGAAACAAAAGAATTAATTTTCCACTCTCAAGATTATTCAAATGAAGTTGGGTAACAGCTTTAAACCTTATTTTAAACCCTCACTCCCTAGAAAAGACACTGATGCCAATGAGATCATACGTAAGAGGCTTGCAGCTCTGTGGAATATCACTGGGATGGCCACCATCAGAAGCGGCCATTGACCACTAGTCTAAAATGCACATAGGGACCATTTTACAACCCCCTAATACTCAAAGCTCCGATGATTCGGCACCTTACAACAGGGCCTGCTGTGACTTTGCAGGCTCAAACCAAAACCAAACCGAGTTGATTTCGACTCATAGCAACCCCTCCTTGGGTTTCTGAGGTGGTATCTCTATGGAAGTAGATTGACCAGTTTTCCTTCCAAGGAGAGGCTGGTGGGTTTGAACGGCCAGCCTTCTGGTTAGCAGTCCAGTGTCTTAGGCACTATGCCACCAGAGCTCCATAAGGTTCAAAGCTCCATAATATCTCACGGACCATAAGTCAAAATGAGCTCCTTCAAGTAGATGGTTAAATGTTCTGAATCTGTATAGACCCTCATAAGACAAATGACAACATCTAAAAGGAAGCAGGAAACCAATCTAAAACCACTGTTCACACAACTGCCGCATTTTCAAGCAATTACAGTAAACAACTTGTCCCCCATTTGGCTATCACCTCAGATAAAAAGCTTTGCTTAACCTCAGGATGCACTAATGGTACATTTAGTATTCCTCACTAGAGTCAAAATAATTTCCATTTTGTTTTCAACAAATTATTTTTATCCTAACTGAAGGGAATTATTTTTCAGGAATGACCTGTTTTAATTGATACATATATAATTATGATTGTCTGCTTTAAAGCAACACTCACAAAATGGCTTTATTTCTTGATTGCTATTAAGTAGTTTCTAAAAAATCATCAATTAGCTTGTTCTTCAAAGGTATTATTACTAGAAATAAAGGGTACATTTGCTTCAATAAAGACATTTAGTCATGAATTCCTCCTAGTAGGAAGGGGAGTGAGGCAAAAGGCTACATCTGAATAGCTTTTAAAGTCAATGTAAAAAGAACATCAATAAGGAACATAATAAAGATATTACTGTATAATCTCCAGCTTTATGTGAGACTCACGAGGTTCAAGATCACCTGGTTGGTGGATGGATTCAGACATTACCATCTCTGGAAAATCCCAGGTGGTACAGTGGTTAAGGCATTTGGCTGCTAACCAAAAGGTTGGTGGTTCAAACTTGTCAGCCACTCCATGGAAGAAAGATGGGGCTGCCTGCTTCTGTAAAGATTTACAGCCTGGGAAACTCAATGAGGGTCACTATGACTCAGAATCAACTCGATGGCAGTGAGTTTAGAGAGAGAGTCAGTTTTCAAAAGAATATGTATTACCTTTTTGGTTTATAAAATGGAAGGTTTTGCTTGTTGCCTGTTTTTCCAATGAGGGGATTTGGATCTGGTAAAGTATAGGCTCATGCTCCAGGGAAGTGGACACTTAGCCTGATCACATGTGGCCCAAGAGCTGAGGCAGTGAAGGCCAAGGGCAACACGGAGCTCAAGTCAAATGGACGGGGCTTAAGTCTCACTGAAGCTTCTGAACCTCCATGCCTCGGTCTCCTCATCCACACGATGGTGATAACACTGCAGCTTCAGGGCACTGCTGGGCACAAGCCTGTGCCTGGCACGCCACGGCTACGTCTCTCTCTTTTCTCTGCCACTGCCAGCCCCACCTTCCTAACTTCTACAACTCCTGACTCTGGCCTAGCTTGCTGCTGTTGCAATGGCAGATGGGAGACAGTCTAGAAAAGACCATGGGGCAAAGAGGAAAGAGGCTGCACTGAGGAGATGGGAGGGGACGAGACCTGGACATCTGACTGGGCCTCCTAATGGAGAGAGGGGTCTGTTAATTATACCACTGTGTACAACCTTCAAGGCGTTGCTCACCTGTGATTCTCAATGAACATAGGAAGGAGTTAAGGATGGTTTGAGAACTTCTGAAAATAGCTATAAAATTCAAAATAAATATTCCACACATAACTCTAATATGACGTTCTTCCATGCAAATGAGGGCAAGGAGACTGTTTTAGCATTAGGTGCAAAGAAAAGCTTGCTTCTGTGATAATGATTCAGCAGGCAAAACGCATCCTGAAAAATCTGGGAGCAGGTGCAACTTGGAGCCAAGACCAACTGGTTATGTAACAGTGAGTCAGGAGGCCCCCACTTTGAGTGAGCAAAAGATGAAATTAATAGTTACTAGAGAGGCTGTCTTCTCATTGGGGATAAATGTAGCAACAAGGAGAAGACGGAGATTTACACTGTTCCGTGAGTGACATCTTGATTCTAGCACAGCGGAATGGTACTAATCTAGACAACACATTAACGGAGTTTTTTTTTCCCCTGCTTTTCACAAATGTGAAGGCTTAATTGTGAAGCATTTCATATACAATGCTGCTTTCTGCAACCATCTGCTCTTGGTAGTGCTCAAGGGCAAATACCAGAAGTTGAGTAGCAGGACAATTTTTGATGCCTTTAAACAAGTGAGGCGGTTAGCCCTCAGAGCTCTGGAAAGCAGGTCCCCGTGCTGAGAGGAAGTCCAGTGGTGAAAGGTGGCACCTGATTATCAGTGCATCCCTATAAAACTGGCACTTCATCTGGCAACCACAAAAACACAGCTGATGACGAAAATATGAGCTGCTTTGGTCAGTATGCAAGCAAGGACCAGTGTGGAGTTCAGAGGGCTGTTCTTCCACTCTTCAGCCTTAGGAGGGAAGCGTCAGTTAGCACCACCACCACTCCTCAGAGAGGGATGCTGGGCAAAAGTCCTATCTCATTCCTCCTCAAAATGTTTCAAGCTCCTAATATAAGATATCAGAGCTAACAACAATGGGATGACTCCTGCCCTGTGGGGGTTTACATTGGAAGAACGAAGATGGCCTACAAACACAGGTGGTGCTGGTGCCACTAGAGAGGACAAGGCTGCATTGGTGCACGTCCCCAAAGACAGAGAGCAGCCAGCACTGGGTCAGAGGTTCTTCTGCTTTCTCCTTGCTGCTCTATTTAACAGACCCCACACCTCAGTAACAGTGCTACTGTGGCCAGTCATTTCACTCTGCACTTCTGTCACTACTAAAATACCTACAAGCCGTCTGTCTCACTGGAATTGGCTTCTCAGGGCACTTGATGCTCAGAATGAGTGAGGAGAACCTCCAGCCCTGCTTACCTGAGCTTGGCCCTCCTGTTATCTGCTCCTCCATTCTCCTCCACCTGTAACTACGGTGGCTGATCTGCTCTCTGAAAGTCAACCCTTGGCATCTGAAGAACAAAACTATTTTGAATGGACTATCTGATAACACATTACCAAGAGCGAATGTTGAGTGATTCAGCTCTTAAAAGAGCACCAGTGATTGGCTGGTTCCTGACAAACAGACTGGTGCCAGACTGCTCTTTCAGATACCATAGAAAACTAACGTTTGGATATGTCTCTTAGGACAGACATCATTTCAGCTTTGTCTCCCTGCAGCTGTTCTCTGAAACAGAGCTCTGCCTCTTCAAGGTTGGCCCTGTTGAGAATCAGAGTCCTCAGGCTCTACAAAAGGCAGTTTTTCATTCTGCAACATGAGCATGAGTGCAGCATTCCTATCAGCACTGGGCTCTACACCTGGCCCTGCCTCAGCTGTCAGGCCTGTGTGGCCATGACCACCACAGCTGCTTCCTGAGGCCTGCTGTTGGAACAGGTGAAGTGGGAGCAACAGGCAGGTCATGGACTGACTCTGGTTCCAGTTTCTACAATATTCAGTCAGCAATTTAACTTCAACCTCAGGACTAGATAGAGAGGGCAGGCACTACAGGTTGACTCCAAACATGAATACAGGGAGTAGACACTTACACAATCACAACATCTCTTGGCAGATGAGGCTCCATTTCCTATGGGAATCAGGTAATTTTCCATACAGTTTAGGACCTGCAGTCAAAAGTTAGGTTGGCTTCTGGGTATCTTAAGACAGGACAAAAACAGTGTGGTACCCTGTCCATGGAGGATGCTCAATGACTAGCTGCAGACTTGAAACATCCTGAAGACTAGGTGGATTGATCTAACCCTGAGGGGTTACAGTCCACATCCTTTGTCCATTTGACCCTGGTGACACATCTGTAGCACTGCTCTGAGAGCCCTGGTACCAGGCACGGACGATGAAAACCTGCTGACAGAAGAAGGTCCCCCCACCCTGGCCTCTCAGGAGCTTTTATAGCAGCAGCACTCAATCACTGAAGGCCTACTAGGGACCACGTGGGGCTGAGAGCTTACACTTCATCTTCACCACAACCACACAACTACTGCCATTACTGCTTCATGGATGAGGAAACAGGCATGGAGAGGTCAGTGACTTCTCGAGCTCTTGCCACTGGGCAAGAAGGAGCCCTGCCTACATGTAGGTGCCTGGCAGCAGAGCCAGGGCGCCTGGAGGGCCTCTGGCACTAGCCTAGAAGCCAAGGAACAGGATGGAAAGGTGAGGATGAGGGTGATCTCTGGCGAGTCCCCTTACCCTCCAGCTTTGGCTTACTCATCTAAAACACTTTGGTATCTGGCCAGGTGAGCCTGATTGCCTTTCAGGTCTAACAGTCAATCTGCATGGTCCCTGATGGGTTTACTAAACAGGTATAAATTCTAAATTAATTTTTATCCATAGAAAAAAACAAGATTAGGAAAGCACATACCAAAAAGGGCACCCTGCCTGTCTCTGAATGGTGGGATGATGAGTAATGCTTTCCTTTGACCTTTTCCAAATATTCCAGTTTTCTCTGCAATCACTATTTGCTGAGTGAATGAATGAATGAACATTATCCTAACAGCATTAATAAAACAATGAGAGGGATAGCCTCTTGGCCCCAGGATAGGCCCTGGTGAGGCAACCCAGGGTGGACATGAGGGGTGGGGCGGGGAGGCCAGACTGAGGGAAGGAAGCACTCTGCCTCAGAGCCAGGCTGCTGGGCCCCACTGTGCAGCCAAAGGGAAGAAAGGAGACCTCAAGACTAGGTATATACTTCAAGCCACAGGTATGTGGAAGGGGCAGGGTTTAGACCAAAGCCAGTTCCAAGGGAGCGGGGTCTCCATCTTTCCAGCCATTTGCCACTGCTGGGGAGTAAAGATGCTGTGGGAGATGGGCAGGTGTTCCTTCAACCTTATTCACTCACCTCACTGGAGATGGGTGTGTGCCAGAACTCAGGCCAACAGCTCTAAACACTGAGGCCATGAGAGCTGAGAACAGCATTTTTCTATGATTGTCTCCACTGGGAATCTGTCAGCTTTGAGCTGTCAGATGGATCAATGGGACAGCACAGCCACCACATTCTAAACTCTCCAGCAGCAGTAGCAGCAGCAGCAATATTGACGGTAAAACCAACAGCTTGCACTTCTAAGCGCTTGCCCTGCACCAGACCCCACTCTCAGGGCCTCTTGTGGATTAACTCAGTGAGTCCTCATGTTGCTTAGGAAGTAGGTGCAGATGAAGAAACTGAGGCAAGAAGGTTAAGGCACCTGCCCAAGGCCACAAAGCTGTGAATCCTGCAGTCCCCCCAGGGCTGGTGCTCTGAGCCACCGCTGTCCACTGCCCTTGAGAACAGCTTCCCCTCTCACCCTGTGATGGGGGATCTAACCAGCTCCAGCCTGAAAACTCCTCCTGAGCACAAATTAGGTAACATTTAAAATGGGGGTGGATACCTTGGGAGATGTCTCTCCTTAGAGCCGTTAAAGCCTTTTCACCCTGGTAGCATTTCTTTGGAAAGTAAACGCCACCTTTAAGGGTCAGTTTCAGCAAGTCCTCCCAGGCTTCGTATTCTCTAACAGGAAAAGCGTCTCTCAGAGCCATGGGATGCCAGCTGGGCACTTCCTCTCCACCCACTGCCATCTTACCGTCACAGGCATCCTTCACACCTGGGAAAAACCTCATTTGCTCAAACTTAAAACTCACACAGGCTTTATGCCTCCATCTTTCCTTTCTTCAGGAACATCTTTCCCCCCTTGTTACATAAGCAGGTAGATGTTGAATATATGCCCTGAAAGAGTTAAATAAGCCTCAAGCGGACTACAAACTGGCAAAGCTTTGATCTTTGTAGGGAGGTATCTTCCCACAGCTCCTGTCCTACAGGAACAGGGAAGAAACTTGAGACTCAAGTTTACTCAAGGCCTGACTGTAGCTACTCTGTGAGGTGTGAGGCTGCAGGGACATTTAGACGCTGGAATGCCCAGCTGTGGTCCTGTACCCCTGTTTGGAAATGTCTACTAATTCAACAAAAAACAATCCTGAGATAAAAGACTGCTGATGCATTAGAAAGCAGCATTTATATGTAGTAGTTACTTTTTCAGGCCCAGTTCTCAGGAGGGTTAGGTCCCCTGCTCAGGCACTGGCTTGTCACAGGTCAGTATCTCATGAGGCAAAGAGCAGAGGGCGGCAGGGAGTCAGAGGAAGGCAGGTAACCCCTGTACACTGGGGCGGGGGTGGGTGGAGGGTGTGAAGATCTATCTGTTTTTACAGTTAACACAAAAGAATGCATCTTTTAAAATTTTTCCATGGGGGTTAAAAGAATTCCAGCTAAGCTACTTGCAAAGAGTCTAAATCTTTTCTAGTTTTACTCTCAGTTAACCAGCAATTAACCCAAACCAGCAGCACTCTGATTCATCAACATCGAGACACAGTGAAGGGGTTACAGGTGATCTCAACAGGCAGCCATTAGGTGGACTTCTGGATGTGCAGACACTACTCTGGACCGGCTTTCACTGACACTGATGTGGTACTGAACACAGAACTCTGGGCTCACAGTCGGCTGAAAACTATCCCTGGAGAGATCTGACAGAGCTGCTCTTTGCAGCACCAGGTACTCTGTCTTCATCAAACAAACACAACAGAAGAAAAACGATTCCACTAAGCATGGCACAAGAGCCATCTGATACACCAGAGACGAAATAGCCCCCATAGTCTACACATCTCACAGAACAATTATTTCAAAACAAATACCCCTTTCTTGGCAAATTCTAATTATTTTCCCTGTGCCTTGTTCACGAGCCTCAAGGTGTAAACGGCTCACTTGGAAACGGCTGCCACCATGAGGAAGCTCGCACTCCCACCGCGGTGAGACTTTTTCTGCCGTCTTCCATAAGCTGTTCCTGCCCACCTGCCTCACTCCTCTTTTCACCTGTGTAGTAAATTCTCCTTCTCAACGTCCTTTTAAAACCACATGTCCAAAGGATATTGATGATGGCTGCACAATCTGATTAATGTAATTATTGTGTCACTAAACTGCACTTGTAAAACACCTTAAATCGGCAAATGTGTTATGTATTTATCTTAACAACAATGACAAAATTGTGATTAAAGAATAAAAAACCCATGTGTCACAAAATAAGCATAAATCTTTATATCATAAGTTTATTGAAACTCTCTCTATATTCTAATCAGCTTTCTTCGCAATCAGCTTTCTTCGCTACCCACAAGAGTGTTGTGGTTGTTGTTATACGTCACCGAGTCATCTCCAACTCACAGCGACCCCTCCTTGGGTTTCCAAGGCGGTATCACTACAGAAGTAGATTGCCCAATCTTCTTTCTGAGGAGCAGCTGGTGGGTTTGAATCGCCAACCTTCTGGTTAGCAGTCAAGTGCCTTAGGCACTATGCCACCAGAGCTCCTACCCACAAGAGTAGGCACAAATATTGTGTCAGAAGCATGTTTTAAAAATCAAATCTGAGAACTATTCCTTTAGCACAGATGCTTACTCTCAAAATTTCGCCTCAGACTATATGGCTTCATTTTCAGACACTTACTGAGCCCTATTGGGAGTGCAAGGAACACACAAAGACGTAAAACACAAGGTCAAAGAATATGCAACCTAAATGTGGGGTCAAGTCAAGAAAGATGTGACTCTATCATGACAGGCAGCTCCTGGAGATAGGCCAGGGCAAGGGCCAGGGCAAGGGTCCGAGGGGCTGACATGCAGATCACTCCCTCCATCCTGGCAAGGCCTGAGGCCACCAGCGTGGGTCCCAAACCAAAGCCCACTGCTACTGAGCTGAATCTACTCACAGTAACCCTGCAGGACAGAGCTGAGCTGCCCCATGGGGTTTCCAAGGCTGTAAATTTTTACAGAAGCAGATTCCCTTATCTTTCTCCCACAGAGCGAGCGGCTGATGGATTCAAACAGCCAACCTTTAGATTAGCAGCCAAGCGTTTAACCACTGTACCACCAGGGCTCCATTAACATGAAATAAATGGTTGAAAATATCCCTAATTCCCTCCAAACACAAAGCCGTGGCATGAATCTACAGTGATGCAAACATCCTAGTGTTCACATATATGGTCAGTTCCTCTCTAGAATCAGTTAAGAGTTACCTTGGTGATCAACATAAGGCTTGAAGGCCTGAAGGATTTTTGGCACAGCTACCCCCATGTCAAGTTCCGTCAGAGTCAGCTCATTCATAAAGTAGGGGAGCTGGAGAAAAGAAGTAAACAGTGGATGAGTAAGTTAGAATTCAGCATTCTCTTGAGCAATGGGGGTCAGGGTCTGGGGGATACATCATTTATTTCACTGAAATATACTGAGTGCACACCACATAGTAGGCACTGTACTGAAGATAGCACCATGAACAAGCCAGGCAAGTTCCTTGCTCTCATGAGGTTTATACTGGAGAGGTAGAAACCGACACATCAGGAGACAAATAATCTAGTTTCAGAGTAACTAGGGCTACAAAGAAAATAAAACAGGTGACAAGACAGGGGAACCTGGGGTGTGGGTACAGGTGGCTATTTTGGCTAAGGAGGTCCAGGAAGTCTTCTCTGAGGAGTGGCTTTTGACCAGAGATATGACCATGGAAAAGGAGCAAGGCAGGCTGCATAGATGAATAATCCCAGGGTTGGCCAAAGTATGGGAAAACGAATCGCTCTTAAACCACTAGTGGAGAGTAAGTTGTAATTGTAATGTTTCCGGCGCGCAACTTACAATACGTATTAAAATCTTGCAAAAATCACATCCCTTTGACCTAAAGCTGGACACCTTCTGCTTACCCTCCTGGATCTGAGCCCCACCCTCCACCCTGAGAGGCTGGCCTATGTGAGCCACCCTGGCTTCTGATTGGGCATGGCCAATGGGATGCACCAATGGGCAGGGGAGGTGAGAGGCGTGTGGGTAAGAGTGTTGTAGGCGTTTGTCCCCTTCCTGAGTCCTTCTACTGAAGGCCACAGCCGTTGTCAGGCAGGTGGGCCTCCTCCACATAGCTACCTTTTCAGAGTTCCGGTAACTCCCTGCCTTTGACCCTTCAGGGAGAGGTAACAGTTCCCACTGCTGCTAACCTTCAGGTGCGGCTCCAGCCCTTGTGGTCTCTCTATATCCGCCCACAATTCTCTAAGTCTTCCCTTTATTAAACCCCGCCCCCCAGGTTACTCCATCTGTCTCCTAGCTGGGACCCTAACATAGACCCCCACATCTTTCAGTGGGGATTTAGTCTAAATAACGTAAGAGTACTGATGTCATGCTTAGAAATTCCTACTTCACCTCAAGATTACGGAATGAAGTCATCTATCGGATCTATAGATGTGCATGTATTTTTGTTTATTTAAATCTTTAATTCATTCAGAACTTTAGTGTAAGACGTAAAGTAGGGATTCAACTTTTTTTTTCCTCAAATGGCCAATCATCTGTCCCAAGCTGTTACCGAGTGACCAATCCTTTCCTTATGAATGCCATCAAGGGGAAGAGTCCCACCAGACTGGAGTCTGTATGGAGCACTCTTGTTTTCTGCCAGTATCAGACTGCTTTTATTACTGTAGTTTCATATTTTCTAATTTACTAAAGCCCTTTCCTTTGTTTCCCCTAAAATTTTCTCAGTTATTCTCACAAATATTTTTTTCCAATTAAACATTAGGATGATTTTGTAAAATTCAGAATGAAGAGCTTTATTTATAGTTTTTCAATTTTCAATTGTGACTTGGGTACAAATTTACAAAGCAGATTCATTTTACTCTCAACCGTCAATGCACATTTGGTTTCCCGGCCCTGATTACAATCCCAGCAACAAACAGCTCTCCTCCCCTTTCCTCCCCGTGACCGCCCCTGCCCAGTGCCCTTCTTATCCATGAATTCCTGGCTGTTCAGCTTTCCCTCTATGAGAATGCGTCCCTTCCAGACGACTCACGGTTGATTGATCTAATGGGTGCATCTCCCTGGGGTAAGTGGGTGTGTCTCCCTGGGGTAGGTAGCTGGGTCTCCCTGGGGTAGGTGGCTGCGTCTCCCTGGGTAGGTGTTCTGCTTGTAGGCCTTTCTACTGTTGGGCTGAGAGCCAATCCATAGAAGTGAGTCTAGTTCCAGGCCTGAAGGATAACCCAGGGCCATAGACTCGGGGGTTCCACCAGCCTTTAAGAGTTTTATTTTTAAAATTAAGTTATTGGCTGAATATTTCACATAAACTAAGGCAGCATTTAGCCAGGCATGGATTTAACACTTAAGCTGCTGGACTACTTCATCTTTCTCCCTACAAAGAAACTTAAAAAACTTCTGGATTCACTAGTCAGAGAATTTGGCCTCTGACTTCTTGTGCTGAGGAGGGGAGATATGGGCAGGATAAAGGTGGGTGAAGAGATTACTTTAAAGAAGGTATGATGTCTGTGATGGACAAAAGGTGCATGGAGGCAGGGTTCAAATGTGTTTTTCTTTTTTTAAATAAACATGTGTCAAATACTCTATTTAATCAATTAAAATGTTACAACTGATTCAAAAGAAAATTCCAAGAACTATACACAAATAAGGAATAAGGACCTCTGAAATGAATGACTAATAGAGGTAAAATATTGATCCACAAAACAATAATCAATTGCATTCCACTGGGCACAATTAATATGCATATCTATGGGTAAGAATTATCAAATTTGTATTTCTGAATCAGTGGTAGTCATATCCAGAAAACTTCTCCCAAAGAATCAATGTTAGAGACGGTGGTTGGCCAACCAATCAGCTTGCAAAATGTTCTTTGGCCAAAAACGTAACCAAAATTTTGTACCTGTGCTACAGTCCGTTATATCTGTTATGGTCATAACACCCAGTGTCTCAGGAGCACTCCGGGTTAGAGAATCTGAGGGCTGGCCAGGGAACGTCACCACGTCCAACAGTGTTGCTATGGGAACAGGAGCCCCACACCGAGCCACAGGAATGAATACAGAGATAGCAGGAACATAACTGTCCCCCCTCTTCCCCTGCCCAGCATCCCTTCCCCATCCTGCACACTGTAGTCTCTGCAAGGATAAAGGAAGGAGCTGAGGCAGGATCTAAGATAAGGAGGGGGGCTGAAAGAAACTGAGTAAGACAGAAGATGGTGGTGGTGGGGCCCTAATGACCACTATGCAGAATGGGGAGGGGAGAGTGGCTGGGCCTGGTTTCCTAAGACTTCACCCATCTGTCCAACCCCAAGATTCGAGACCATCTCTAAACTCTACCTCCAACACACCCCTGTCTGGGTTCAAACTCTTGGTACCAGACTCTAGAGCAATCTCCTTGCTGCCCAGCAGGGGCAAGCATGGAAAGTCACTTCTCTTCTTGTTCTTCTCAACCACAAACACCTTTCCTCCTCCCCAGAGGGCACCTTAGGGAGACGGGAACCCAGTGGTACATTCTATATCCTCCTGAGTAAATCCAACCGGGGTTAGAGGGTCAGGGGTATGGGCCATTCTCAGGACAGTGGGTGACAAGTGAGAGCTGCCTGTGGTAAGAGCAGCATCTGCTGATGTAGACATAAGAGGCCCATAACTGCTCAGAGCCCCGAGGAGGCGTTCTGGCAGCTGGCTGAGGCCAAGGGTGCATTTGCTGTTGGGCAGAAATTCAGCTTGTTTTAAACCCGTCACTGGGCATCAGATAACACAGATGGCTGCTTTTTCACAACATGAGTCTTTATCACGGGCGCAGGGACAATCTGGACTGCAGGGCGAGGCAGGCAAAGAGCTCTTCCAGGGAAACCGGGGGGGGGGTGGATCTCCGACAGGGCACAGCTCAGCTCCTCGGGCCCCATGCGGGCTGCTTACCAAACCCACTAGGTCCATCAGTGCAACGGTTTACACCGGGGCCGCGACGACGGACTCAAGCACAGCAACGGTTCTGAGGCCGGCACAGGGCGGGGCAGCGTCTTGCTCTGCTGTACACAGCGTCACTGTGAGTTGAAACCGACTCAACGGCACCTAATAACACTAGGTTTAAGGTATGGCTTCTCCCAGGAGCTCCTGGATATTTGGTCATGGTGAGCGCTCCTGGGGCAGGGGCAGGGGCAGGGGCAGGGGCAGAACCTGAGGAGTGACATTTTGCTGCCTTTCTCTTCAGTCTACTGCTTCCTAGGGCAGCAGTTCAGGTCGGGGGTGGAGGGTGTGGAAATGCACTGAGGCTGACAACGGAGGGACACAGCCCCCACCGCTGAACTGCTGATGCTACGGGATCGTTTCCCCATTCGAACCTTTCAGGACTTCTGACCTCAAAAAACCAACGGAAGCTTAGGTTTCTGAACTGCAAAAGCCCCCATCAACAGCAAAGGGAGAAAATGAACATAAACACCTTCCCTGAACTTCTGGAATGAGGAAGAGCACCGTTCTCCACTAAGGGGGCTGAGACCCACAGACTTCCAGCTCCAGAGAAGAGTGAAATACCTCCTGTTCCAGTTCATTCTGGTGTACAACAGGAGGGTGGTGTCCTGTCTGGACTTCAAGCACACCCTGCTTTCCAGGGACCTCACAGCCCTCCCATTCACAGAGAAAGCCCACCACAGTATCTTGAAGAAGAGTAGTGGCAGCACTGCACGTTTGTCTTGACCCAGGAACTCCATGCTGTCATCGTTTTCCCAAAGGAAGCAGTAGTTTAGTGAGCTCTAGGGCGGGTGCGGAACTCTCATCTACCAAGAAAAAGGGTCGCGGCTGCCTCCCCTCTACAGAACCAGCCAGCAGGAACAGGCTCAACCCTCAAGCCCAGAAGGCAGTGCCTCCTCTTCAGGGTCTGGCAAGGGAACAGCACTGGCTTGAAGCTGGCAGCCTGGGCTGAGTAGAGCATGACTAAGCAGAAAAAGCTCTGCTTAGTCATCCAAAGGGATGACAGAAACGGAAGTGAAACTCCTCCATGTCTACATACTTCTCCTAATAGAATTTTACCTCACAGCTCAGTTTCCTAACCTGGAGTCCTTGAACTTCTAAAACTGCGGACAAAATGTACTATCTCTGTGCACTCTTCCGGGGAAAGGTTCCATAGGCTTCTGCTTCTCAAGGGTATCTATGACCAGAAAGATTCAGCTACTGACTGTTCAGGCCCTCACTGAAGACTGGGGACCAAAGTCACTCACTATTCCTTGGCTGGGTCTTCATTGGATCAAAAACTTACTTCTACATAAGCTCGGTAAGGTCTCTTGGTTGGCAAATGAGTCATTTAATGACAGTTAAGAGAAATACTTATCATGCAGTTTAAACTCACTTCCAAGTGAGCCTGGATCAGCATAGGACGGTTTCCTCAGCAAAGGGAGAGCCCAAAATAAAGCACCATCTGGCCAAAAGTAAAGGTCAAATGCAGACACATTTAGAGTATAATGCTGACTTCCCCAGCTTGGGAGGGAGCATGACTTGGAGAGAGGTCTGAAATGGTCAGGAGTTCTCCTCAAAGCTGTATGGCAGAGACCACTGTGAGGGTGAGAGGGCTCCAGACATACAATTTCAGTTCGTTGCTGATTTAAAAATAATAGAATTATACAAGACATACCAGCCTCAGAAGCTCACATTTTCCCAAGCCAAATTCTGGATTACTACCTAGAGTAGATAACAGTGAGGGAAGCCTGATAAAAAAGTAAACAGAAATGTCCCCCAAGTCCCCAGACGCATCATCCTACCAAAAAGGCCACAGACCAGACATGATTTCTGACAGGAACTTAACACCCTCATATGTCATAGGTTTTACACCAAGTTATTCCTCACTTAGGAAATAATGACATGAAACTTCCAGAAACTAAGAGATGTGAAGAGCCCCAAACATCTTGTATAGGAAACAATACCTTTATTTTGCTGAGTTTCATTTGGATTTTCTTAGACACCAGATCAGACCAGTATTTCTCTCCTAAGAAGTCCCAAAATATTCTTCCAAGCAAGGCGTTCACCCAGGCTCCATGTTCTTCCTCCTCAGAGGGTAGAGCCTCTGGCAACTGGCAAAAGAAAAGGGCCCAAATTAGTCAGAAAGCAACTAGAGAACAAGACAGGTGCTTGTTTTCATCAAGTCCCTGAAGGTGCCACCTTCCACTTCCACGGAGACGAGGAGACCACGTCAGCGGGACTCCTCCTGACTAAGAGCAAGTCCCACGTTATCTTGGGGAACAGAAAAAGGGAGAAACAAAAGCTGCCATCACAGCTAAACACCTCTTCTGAGCCTGGTCTTTTTCCAGTTTTCCTACGAACCACATAAATATTTCACACAGTTCCCTCAGCCAAAGCACCCTGGACCAAAAATCACCTTGGTATCACCGTTCTGAATCAATGACATATCTGCTCAACTGTCCACTTATCTCTTTTCCAGCAAAGGCTCCCTGGGCGTGTAACTGTGTCCTCACTGAGGCAGAGCCCAGTCTCCCAGGACTCTGACGTTCAGCTCAAGCCTTGGGAGGCCAAGATTCTTGAGGCGGTGGCACGAGGTGGGGGGGGGGGGCTCTCAAAATACCGTGCCTGCGTCCCACTCCCACGGGGCCTCAGGATGTTGAGAAGCTCCTCAATGATGCAGGAGGTTGAGGACCCAGCCCTGGATAAGAGAGTTGCAAACTCCCACAGTGGTCCTCCCCAGTTTCAGCCCAGTGAGGTACCCTGGCCCTCATCTGAGGTACCCTGACCCTCATCTGCATTTGGTATTTCCATCGGAAACATCTGCCACGGCCAACATGAGAGTAGGAGAAGAGCAAGCCCGGACTGTCTCCATTTTCAAGGCTAATTGTTAGACTGGATCCTGCCTGGAGAGGGTCAGGGACGGGGAAGAAGGGAGAAGCAGCAGCAAGAGGGCGCGGTGAGGCTTATGTGGCGGGTGCAGGCGACGCACTGACAATCAGCACTCGGCACACGGTGCTTGTAGTTGTTGTTACTGTGCTGTTGTCCACGGCCATGTGGCAGCCCCTGAGAGACTCTCTCACGCTGCCTCGCTGGCTCCTCTCAACACCCCAGAAGACAGGCTCTTTACTGCCATTTTACGGATGAGCAGACAGACTCAGAAGCACTCAGGAACCTGCCTGAGGCCCCTCGTTCATGAGCACCGCCTGATGCCGAGCCTCACGGTCCCTGCTTTTCTCCTGTTCTATAACTGGCCCCCGGTGTGACAGACATTTCTCCATCCTGAGGTCTTTAATCAGACTCTAGCTTTACAGGAAAAACAGTCATAGGAACCAAAGACTAAAAGAACTAGAAGCGGCAATCTGTGCACCCTTTCCCCTCTGAGGTTTGTACAAACGCATCCATCTTGCTCTTGCGAGCCAGCTGCAGCCATGAGGCACGCATGTCATGGCCACACCCCAGACACTCTCGTCATCGTCATCTCCATGTTCCTTAGGGCATCCACGTCAGTGCTATCTGTTCCGGGGAGCTATGACTGGGCTCATGTCACAGGTGCTGGGTGCACAGGCCAGGCACGGTACACAGGTCACCTGGTGCTCATGGATTCACCACTTCCAGGCCTCAGTTCCTGTGAGTACCCTGAAGGTCTATGGCACGTATGAAACGTGAATTTCCGGAAGCCCAGAGTTCCGAGGTTCTGACCCAGGGAAGCCCGTCACTGAGCTCACACGCGAGCCTAGTGGACTGCTCGGCACCCACCTGTCCACTGGTCCTGTCAGGACTGGGGCTGTCGCTCTCTGGGAGTCTGAGGGTTCACTTACGTGTTTTCAATCACATGTTACTGCATCTAAGAGGAGATGCTTTATGTGCCAGGGGTCCTTCAGATGGGGTATTCTGAGAGGTTTCCATTATGAATATTGGCAAGTCTTGTTAAAAGCACCACTGTGCTTTAAAAAATACATGGCTCCATTTCAGAACACAAGTGCACCTCATTCTTTTTAATGGCTCTACAGTGCTCTGTCTGTGCTTTTCCGGTGCTGCAATGTCTTTAGATATTTACTAGATCCTGGCGGAAGCGCAGAGTCAGGCCACTCACTGTACATGTTTCGTATCACTCCTTCCTCTGCCTGCACATCTCCACCCCATCCCAGGGGCACATGGTCCAGCTACACTGAGGTTACTATCTTTTGCACAACAGATTATCTAAACAGACTTATCTAAGGACAGTTCTCCGACCATTCAGACAGGGCTAAGTTGCTGCCCCCGGGGCACCACTGGTCTGATTTAGATTTGTGGGCTACACAATAGGTTACCCCATCCCTTCTCAAGTGGGAGAGCCTCGCCTTTATTAACCTTTCTTTACAACCCCAGTTAGTCACCTGAAACAGGCTTAGCACAAAACACCAAGAAACAAGGGCCATTTCACAATTTGTGTCTAAGGCAATCACATATGATATGGTCGACAAATTTCTGAAATAACTGACAAGCCGGTTGTTGTTGTTTTCTTTTTAGCAGTTCCTTTTTCTAAAGTAGGCTTTTCTCCCCAGACTCACTGGGAACAAAGAAAAATCCAAGAGCAGCATACACAGACACACATCAAAGATTTATGGACAAAATCTGGACTCGGGTGGCACACCACAACAATGCAAATAATAGGAACGCAGAGGATAAAATGCAGGCATCTCCTGATACTGCCCTTGGCTACAGGAAGAAATGTGAGAACATTCATTTCACCATTGCTACTACAGACCAGCCCTCATTTTTGTTATAAATGTGCCCTGCTGGGAAGGTCTGGCCACACAAGGTCTGATGTGAGTTTCGAAAAGGGCTGCTTGGTCCCACGGAGGGCACACTGGAAGACCCTTCCTCCATGCTTGTTTGTTTTCTGATTATAAAAAACAATATGCATTCCCTGTAGAAAACACCCACAACCTACTACAAGCCCAAACAAAACTGCATCTAACATGGTTTTGTATCTTTTCTATTTTTTACAGATATACTGAGATATAATCCACATACCATACAATTCACCCTTTTAAAGTGTACAATTTAATGATGTGATACAGGCATATCTCAGATATACAGTGGGCTCAGTTGCAGACCACCGCACTATAGTGAATGTCCCAATAAAGTGAGTCACATGTATTTTTTGGTTTCCCAGTACATATGAAAGTTATGTTTACACCATACTGTAGTCTGTTAAGTGGGTGACAGTATTATGAAAATGTCTGAAATACTGTGAGAATTACCAAAATGTGACAGAGACATGAAGTGAGCACATGCTGTTGGAATATGGCACCAACAGACTTGCTTGACGGAGGGTCACAAACCTTCAGTTTGTTAAAATCACAGTATCTGTGAAGTGGAATAAAGCGAAGCGCAATAAAATGAGGTATGCCTGTACATTCCTAGAGTTGTATAGCCATCATCATGATTTCAGAAAATGTTTATTACCCCCTAAAAGAAACCCTGTGCCCACTGGCAGTCACTCCCTATTTCTCCTTCCCAACTCCTACCTCATGCCCTTAGCCCTAGGCAACCAGTAATCTTCTTTCTATGTCTATGGATTTACCTACTCTGGACATCACATGTAAATGAGATAACACAATATATGGTCTTTTAATGTTTTCAGGTTCATCCATGTTGCAGCATGTATCAGTACTTCAATCTTTTTTATTGCCAAATAATACTGCATTGTAGGGAGAGGCTGTATTTTATTTTTCTATGCAATGAATGATCTCTGAACTTACATGGAGTAATTTCTACAATATACTGATGAGTGGGGGGGAAAAAAAAAAAGAAACATCCAATTCATAGTATACTACATTCTGAGTAACACAGAAGAGAAGTAAATACAGACGGGATAAACAAAAAACTAAAGAGATGTGATCCCTATAGGGGTGGGCAGAACATGACAGAGAGAGTGTCAAGGGGAATGACACTCTTCTGAGCATGCCTCTTTCCACAGTTCTGACTTTTGGAACCAGGTTAATACCTCCCATGTTCAAAAAGGAAAATAAAAGCAACAGGGATGGGGCAAAGAAAGGTCCTCGCTTACTCAAATCACAAAATTAATAAGAAACAATCATCTTCATAGTTTGAAGAAAGATCTCTTCTGACTTATAATGGAAGGAATAAAAGGAGTACAGGAATATGGTTGCATCTCTCACTTTCCAAACACGGTGCCTCAGGATCTGCATCCCATCTGCCTTTCCAGGAGTTTGCTCCTCCCTCAGAGAGCAGCGGGATCTATGCCCTCCTTGGCGTCTGGCGGGCTCCTGTGACTCCCTTACTAATAAAGCATGTCAGGGAAGGCCTCATGCAACTTCTGAGACTAGGCCTTAAAAACAACACAACTCCCACCTGGCTCTTTCTCCAGGGACACTTGCCCTTGGAACCTAAGCAAATGGAGACAAACTGTGGCCTGTCACCCTCAGCCCAGGTGAGCTCCCAGCCATCAACCAGCACCTACTTGCCAGCCAGTAAGTGTGCCACCTTGGAACCAGATCCTCAAGGCCCGTGTCCAGCCTCCCCAGATACTGCATAGAGCCTTTACTGCTAAGCCTTTTCCAAATTGTGAATTTGTGAACAGAACAGTGATTGCTATTGTTTTAAGCCATGACTTTTGGGATTGTATGTTACACAGCAATAGCTAACCAGAACAATACCTATTTTATTCAAGTCCATGTCAACCACTAGACTTCCCCGGGAGTCAGGACACGGCTCAGACAGGCTTCAGGCAGGCCAAGTGGACACGGGAGACCAGCACTAAAGCGTGTTCACGTTCTTCAAAGGCCCCTCTTTTGAGGGCAGTTATTTCCCTTCACACACAGTTCTGGTTCTAATTTCCTAGCCCGGGGCAGTTTAGAATCATTAACTAAACAAGGGCAGGGATGGGAAATGGGGACTCCAGAAAAAGTCAACTAGAAGGACACATACCAGTAGGCCCACTGGCCACAGAGAGCAAATACTGCAGAGCAAGCGCTCAGTTTGGGGCTGAAAGGTCTTCGGGCCTCCGTAGCCCTGCATTGCAATGGGACTGGATTTCCACTTACTGTGCTGACTCTTTAAATTATCAAGAAAAGATTTAATCATCCCTTCCTGCTCTGCGGGGCCAGGAAGCATAATGTGGTTTTAAAAGATTTTCATCAGACTTAACCACTTCGGTGGTTAAAGGGTAAGCGCCAAGTACTTGAAAAGTGTTCTGAACTACAGAACACCCCTCCTGGTGGAGGGGCTGGGGGCTGTGCCACAGGGCCTCCTAGGCCTTGTCGGGTTAACAGAGACCCAAGGAAGTTTACACGGGTTTACATGGTACAAGTTCATGTAACATACACTGAGCACGCAATGTTTTAAAAGAAGCTCTTTTAAAAAGAAAAATTCTACTTGATAATTTCTTATGCCAGGGCACAACTGTCCTCCTGATTTCCCTGAGTCTACCGAAGTCCAGACAGCTGATAGCCCAGGGAGAAGAGAAGGTACAGCTGGGGGAAGAGGGGAGGCCTGCAGCTGGTAAACAAGACAATTCTAAGACAGTTTTACACGCCCCTCACACCAGCCTACAGGGAGTTCTACTTGCCAGTAGTTGGTAACGTAGGTCAGAAGGTGAAGCAGTGGGTCAGAGGCCAGCCAAGGCACAGGGTCCTTTTTGGCCCTAATGTGAAAGGAAGTCAGTGGGTCATTCAGAGGCCTCTTCCACACTGAATTCACAGGATCACTGGTACAAACAAAACTAGCAACGGGCCCAATGGGGAAAGGCACCAAGTGCCTCCTGTTAGGAACAGAAAGGCAGTCACTGGAAGAGGTCACACACTTCAGTGACTGAACATGGAAAACAGGCTTCGTGTTCCATGGTGAGCAGCTGTGTCTTAGACCATCAGTTTGCAGTGGAGGCACGGAGCCCTTCGGGTGGAGCAAAGCTATGTAACGAATGATCCACCAGAGGGCCGTCCGGAAAGCCCGGGGCACTGAGTCTCAGACCAGGGTTTGCACGCTCTGCCACATAGCAGCTGTGTGTTAAGTTAGTTAACACCTCTAAGCCTCAGTTTCTCTGTCTATAAAATGGAGCAATACCATCTCATTTGTAGGACTGTTAAAAAGATTAGAGTTGAAACATTAAAGTGCCTAACAATCTGGCCCACTGCAGCTTTATTATTTATCTTCTCATAGATGACCTGGCACCAGTCTCGCGAGTTACACTTCGGAAATAACGATGTGGTAAGTCATGCACTGGACAGAGCTGAGGAGTTTGGGATTTGGGAATACAATGGCTATTGCGCAATTAGCTCTCCATTACCAATGACTCTATGAAACTTCCTCACTGACCCTAGTTGCTCAGGTCAAAAATCTAGGCCTCATCTCTGACTCCTCTCATTCTCTCACCCCCCACATCTAATCCTCAGCAAAGCCTGCTGGCTCCACCTTCCGCATGGCCACTCTGAACTACCTGTTGTTACCAGGGCAGGTGGCAACCTCAGCCCCATCCCTGACTGCCAGATTGCCTCCCATCCACTCTTTACTCCTACAACCAATGCTTCACGGAGAGCCGCTCATCTTTTTAAACTAAGCTCAACATCGCTCCCTGCTCTAACCCTCCCAGGACTCCCCATCACCCTGCCAACCCTCCAACCTCACTGTTTACCCCTTGCCTTTGCTCACACCGTCCAGCCACACTGGCCTCTTGGCTGTTCCTTGACTGCCCCAACTACTTTCCTGCTGTGTGGCCTTGCATGTGCTGGGCCCCATACCTGAAAAGCTCCCCACCACGTATCCCCATGAATCACCTTCCCCCCTCCAGTCTGCCTCAACCCGAAGGCCACCTCCTCAGTGAGGGCCCCCGACCACCCATCTGAAGCAGCAGTTCTTTCTACCCTCCCTCATGCGGTTTCATTTTAATTCGATCACCACTGGCTATCTGTTTCTTGCTGTCTCTTTCATTAAAGTACATGCTCTCTCAGGGAGGGGCCTTTTCTGTTCTGTTCATTACTGTGTCCCTGGTACCTAGAGCAGGGCCTGGCACAAAGCAGCTCTCAGAGCATATGCACAAAGAAGCAAGTTTGAACAGAAGACCAGGAGAGCCGCAGCCCAGGCAGCCAGCGTTACCTTTTTCCCGGCTGTGGGGCTGCTCTCAGCGCTCTGCACGGGGCTCCTCTGGGGGCTTCGGCTTTCTTGGGGGACACACCTGGCCATGTACACGCTGTAGTCCAGAAGCATCTTCTGCCGCACGCTGCCCGCTAACTCCTTCTGCTTCGGCTGGGACATGACTTCTTCCACGCTGCCTTTGCTGCTGCTGCGGCTGTGGGTCAGGTGCCCGGAGGGACTGTTGTGTCTGCTGTGTGTGGGCAAAACCCCTGGAGCAAAATGATTGGCACACATGAAGAAAAGTCAGACGGAACTCAAAAGAACAAACGCCGCTGAGTTAAATGAAAAGTAGCTAAAATGCTGTCTTATGCCTTTCTAAAGATACTTATAAGGTTGCTTCCCACCCTGTAAAATACCTTTGCTCTAATGATAGATAATTTTTAGCAAATTCTTCTTCATCTCAAAGACAACACAGAGTAATGGGAACAATGAAATATAGTCAGAAGGTCCCTTCTTTTTTCCTAGTGATCTTTTAGGGTCAAATGTAAAAGCCACATACCCCAAGGAGAGCACCTGGGAGGTAGTTAAGGGCAAATGGAAAGTGGGCAGAGGCTGAAAACTGTTCATTCACAGCTCAGGGCATTTCCAAACACGCCATCTTTCATTCAACAAATTATTCATCAAGCACCCTCTCTGGACCAATTCTGTGCTAAAAAAGAACAAGGCATACTCCTTGCCCTTGAACTCAACACCTTGGCTGCTAAGTCACAATTTTCTGCAGGAAGTATCACTGTAGCACAGCTAAAGGACTTTCAGGCAGAAAGAAGGGGTCACCGACTGCCCAGAGAGCTGAGACAGACTTGCACAGGCCGTGGCCTCTGTACTGTATCTTGATGACTAGTTGGCATTTTCCTGGCTCAGGTGAGCAATCCAGGTAGAGGGAATAGCATACACAAAAAAGTAATGACAGGGCACAGTGTATATGAAGCACACTGAGAGATGCAGCAAAGAGTATAAGAGGCAGAGGGAAAGGAAGTGAGGCTGGAGAGACTGGCTGGGAACAGACTGCACAGTGCCTCTGAAGTCCTACACTGGGCTTCACATTTCAGCCCACAGTGCTGGAGGGTTTGAAGCATGGGAAATGCCTGATGTCGATCCATTTTCTTAGGCTTACTCTGAGATCAAGGTGAAGGACAGAGTAGCTCAAAACCAAATTGAATCATTTGGTTTTTGAGGCTCCAGCCATATGATCAGTTAACTCCCCATGGCCTGACAAGGGGCCACACAAGACACTTCTTCATTTAGGTTTTAGCTAATGCCCAGCATTTGATTGAACAGTTGAGGTTTTATACTGCATAACTATAGAAATAAATTTTTTATAATCCTTTGTTATCCCCATATCATTTTAATACAGCATTATTCTAAAATGTTGATGTAAAAGCTATACTGAAAACATTTCAAGATAAAGATAGATGAAAACTAAATGGAATGTGGTATCCTGGATTTGGATCCTGGAGCAGAAAAAAGGCATTAGTAGAAAAGCTACTGAAATCCAAATAAAGTCTAGAGCTAAGTTAATAATTTACAAAAAAGATGAACAGGGCTTTGAGGCTCCACCTGTATGACCTGTAACTCCCCATGGCCTCACAAAGGGCCATGCAAGGTGTTTCTTTAGTTTCAGCTAGATAACGTCCAACATTTGAATATCTGAGGTTCTACACAGCATAACTCTCCCTCACTACCCGGCAAACGGAGTGGCAGGAGTCAGGGATGAGGGGAACCCTTCAGTGCACTCGCTTGGACCAACACTTCAAATCAAGTCAACCAGCTCACAAGTGAGTCGAGAGGTCCCTCTTCTCCCCACTGATTTGCTGTTGCTGTGTGCCACCAAATCGATTCTGACTCACAGCAACCTTGTAGGACAGAGAAGAACAGCTCCACGGGTTTCCAAGGCTTTAGTGTAACAAGAGCAGATCGTGGGGCTTTTCTCACTTGGAGCCACAGGTGGGAGAGCAGCCAAGCACTTAATCATTACGCCACCGGGACCCCTTCTCTCAACGGATAAAGAGGAGAAAGGAAGCCCTGCTCTAAGGCTTGGCTTGGTGGAATGGCCTCTTCTTTGTCCTTGTGTCACATGTCCCTGGAGTGGGCAAGCACAGGAGCAGCTGCTGCTCTGTGGGCTTGTGGGCAGCGGCCCCTGGTGACATCATGAATCTTCCCGTGCTGAGATCACACGGGAATTCCACCAAGCAGCCCCAGGGGTCCTCGCTCTCCAGACCCTTCTCCACAGCTATGAAAGGACCTGCAGCACGGGCGTCACCTGACCCAGACGCAGAGTCACAGCCCACACCAGGTCCCTGAACCAGAGCCTGCATTTTAACAAGACCGCCTCATACTCCAGGTTGGGCAGCAGAATCTGGTCGCCAGAGAAATCTAGGGTTTGAGTGAGGACGGGGCCAGGTCGTCGAGAGGACATCTATCTTCTTAGACTTCAGACAGGATGTTCTTGGTCCTGGAGAATCTGCACTAGTCCCACCGTCACAGCTGACTACAAACCACTCGTGCTCAGTCACTGGCTCAGAGATGGTTCTGAAGGACAGCAGAGTCCTCACCAAATTATCTTTGCTACCAGCTCAATAACTCTTTTGTGGGATTAAACATACCATTAATATCTCAATACACGGCCTTTAAAGGCAGCCCAGAATAATATGCATAGAAAGACACGAATGGTGTGATAGCACAGCCTTGTTCAAGTCTAGTCCAAGTAAGTGCACTGAAGCTTTTCTCACATCTCTGACACTGTGCTAGTTAAGGCTGTTGTCAACTTCGCTGGGCCTGGCTGAGTGGCTGGGCAGCTGGAGATAGTTATTCCCCATGAGGAGACTGGCAGTCAGCTCCATGGTGGGGTCAATGGGAGCAGCTGAGCAGCTGCTGTGGGTATGTGGGCTGCTTCCTGTATACAAGAAACCTGAATGGTCTCTAGCTTATGGCACACTTGAACCCTGCATGTAGCCGTGTCATTGTTCAGCATCCTGCCATGCTCTGCCGACCTTGGGACTTTCAATGGACTTGAAATAATGGCCTGCCGTGTGGTTTGGTAACATCAGGACTATGCCTTTTTACTTGTCAACCTTGGGCTTGCCACTCTTGGGCTTGTAACCAGAACAGTTAACATTGGGACTGTGTGCCTTTGTACTTGTTGACCTTGGGTTTGTCAGCCTCAGCAGCCAGCAGCTGTCTGAGTAAAGAAAAGCCTCCAGTTTCAGTGGGCCGGGAGCAGGAGGCAGAGCTGAAGCCCAAGGTTGAGGCGTTTTCACCCAGCCTCTAGAGCCTGGCACTTTGAACTCAGACTGTATGCCTCCAAACTGTAAGAAAATGAACTCCTTTTTGTTAAGCCATCCCATTTGTGGTAAATTCCTGTCAGAGCAGCACTAGGTAAGCAGAACAGACTCCTACCATTCACTTTGCTGGGTAGTAAGTCAAAGCCCTGGAAGAAGTGCAGCCGGAATGCTCCTTGGAAGCGAGAATGGCCAGACTTTGTCTCAGCTACTTTGGTCACGTTATAAGAAGTGACCATTCCCTGGAGAAGGATAACATGCTTGGTAAAGTGGAGGGTCAACGAAAAAGGGGAAGGCCCTCAACAAGATGGACTGACACAATGGCTACAATGATGGGCTCAGGTGTAGCAAGGATCATGGAGTTGGCACAGGACCGGGCAGTGTTTTGTTCTGCTGTACACAGGGTCGCTATGAGTCAGAGATGTCTCGATGGCACCTAACAAGAAGTCAAAGTCTGAAACCTTTGGCAGGATTTCTGAAAATACAAACGGACTTAAATAATCAAACCCTTTAGTGGAGTCCACAGCTAACGCACTGCTTGTGAGCTGCTCTCAGTGGCCCCTAAGCACCAAAGGCAGTGTTTCCTGGTGGTCCTATGTGTAACCCAGTTCTGGGCTTTGGTATCTAGCCTAGTGCCATCCAAAAGAAATAGGA